CTCGCTGCTTCTTCCGTCTCTCTCCCTGCTTCTTCCGTCCGCAATAAGCTCCTCTCCTTGCTTCTTCAGCATTAATCCTAGAAGGCCAACAGCTCCTCTCTTCGGCATTTATCCCCTTCCAGGTAAATCCCTTCGCTCCTCTCATCAACTTTGTGCATCGCTTCCTGGTGCAAATCCTCTCTGCATGTGGAGTTCAATACCTTAAAGTTTTGTTGATAATCTCTCCTACTTTGAAAAAAATTATAAAAAGGGGCATTTACATACATACCACACAAATCTGATGTAAATTTTATGTTATATACATTTAGATTTTGGAAAAATGGAAGAATGGGCATGCTGCGTATCCCATGCCATCCCTTCTCTCCATTGTCCTTTGCTTGGCCACTTTGGCATGTGATTGTGGGTGCAGAATGACATCCATTTCTTGGCCACTTTCGTGTGAAAGGGAGGAGTGTTGCTTGTGTTTATTAGCAATTTGCTAAAAACAAATTTTGTTCTGTAATTTGCTCAAATAAAAAGAAATTGATTTTTATGATTTCAAGTAGTTTTAGAGTAGTTTTAGAGAAGTTCTGTTTTAATGTGCAAGTGAATGGTAGTGGGTGTGATGGTGGTGATAAATGGGTTGTATGATTTTTATGATTTAATTACCTAACATTATACTGTCTGGCAAGAACTAGAAATCAAGAGCATCATTGGTGAAAGTTGACTATAGTTTGTTGATTACACCCAAGTTTTGTTGGGTAAAGAAAAGTTACAATTTACTTGTGAAAATTTTGCATACATACCACAACATTCGTTCCTTAATTGGCTAATCAAGCCAAAATCAAGCCAAATTTATACATATCATTTATCTTGGTTCTTGTTATTTTTTTTTTTTGGCGGAATATAAAGATATTAGTTCAGCACATGTGATTTGGACAATTTTAGTGAGAATCTTAAAAGAAAATGAGTGCCTTCATCATTACTATCTATCTTGGATCAAGCTCATGAGCTCTACAAAATTGTTCACGAACTTTACACGAGGATCTAGTTTCATCCATTTTCATAATTACGTAATGATTAATCAAGCTGATTAAAAAATTGAAGGGAAAAAATAAATGGTCATTTATCCAGAAATAGCAGCAAATCAGCTGTTTTCCAAACGCAGATACCAAACAACTACACAATTTATCCAAATCAGGGGCAAAATGGTCATTTATTCAGAAACAGCTGCAAATCAGCTGTTTTCCAAACACACAAACCAAACAGTCAACCAGTTTATCCGAATCAGCTGCTAATCAGCAGTTTATTTAGCATAAGCTGGATAAGCTGTAGCTGGCCCAAATAGACCCTAAATCACAACAACTTGTATGATTAAGTGGCTCTGTGTCTTCTATTGCATATAATCGATGCAGGTTCGATTCCAACATCGAGCATCTATTTCTTCTAATTAATTTAAACAAATTAATTTGGAGTCGAACACAAATAAAAATATGCAAATCAAGTCAAACTTGAACACAATGTTCACGAGTAATTTCAAACATGAGTCAAGTTCAAACACAAAACTCAAACTTGCTCAAACTCGGACTCGTTTATAACTCTAAATCATATTGTCTCATAAATGTAATTGTTTCAATTTGAAAAGATTTTGTTTTTTCATTTGTTAGGATTTTCATGTAAAAAATTAAAAATAAAAATTTCAATATAGAGTTTCTAAAATCTTATGAAATTATAAAGGTTGTTCGTTTGAATAGAAGAAGGTTGATATATTAAAAAAAAAAAGAATATTAGCAAAAATCATAAAATCAACATCTTATTTTAATTAAATTATATAAAAGTAATTTTTACATATTTTTTTTCTAATTTTAAGTACAACAAAGAAAAAAAAAATTATAGGTTTTAATTTGGGCAATTCTAATTTCCTTAAACCAATTTTAAAATATTTATCAATCTATCTAAAATAAAATAAATCGTATAAAATTTTTAGGGGCATTTACATACAATCCACTCTATTCTTATTTATTTATACATCTAACCCCTAAATCTTTTTTTTTATATATATTTATAGCAATTAACAACCCAAACTTTTTATAACACTAAAAAATATCATTATTTTAACATTTTAGGAGTGAAATATACATTTTATATAAGTGTAAAAATTAAAGTGTAGATATTAGACATGTAAATACATAAGAATTGAGTGCTATGTATGTAAATCTTGAATATTATTTATAAATTAATACACAAAATTGATATTACTTATTATATACATACTTCTCAATCCTTATGTGTACCCAACGAAATGGTATTAACAAATCAAGCTCCTTCTCTCATCTATTTTTTTAAATCTCACTAAAATATTACAGATTGTGATATGACGCCAACTCATATTTGTTATTTTTATCAAATTCATAATGATTTGATTGTGACCCATATAAATGTATTGGTTTGTGTACACACAATATTGTCCACACAAATTTTAAAATAATCAACCAGCTGAGAATGATGACATAATCAAAGTATTAAATTCAAGAAACATGATCTGTACCGGTCATCTGAAAGATCAATAGACTGATCAAGTTCACCCTCGGAACATCTGGTCTGTGGTGTTAAGAATTATAATAAGAAATAATTTATTCCTATAAGAAATTATGATGAATAAATTATTTCATTAATATAAGGAGATATTTCCTTTTTTATTTTATATTTATTTCCTTATATTATGAATTATTTATTTTCCTATTTTATGTTATTTACTATATCTCATAATAATTAATATTAATTAATTATTGGAGATATCATGTGATATATTTTTCCTTTAATATCATTTTCCTTTTATTATTTTTCCTATTATATGATTCTTGTAAGGGTTATTTATATTCTCGTTCAAATCAATAAAATAATGAAGTGTTCCACATTATTCTGAATTTCAACATAGTATTAGAGTCTAATTTCGTACTCTAGTCATCAGTCTTCCTTTGAGAATTGTCGGACTCCCTTTCTGTCATCCTTTGTGCGGGAGAGGAGGGGCACTCATCTTGGTATTTGAAAAACATTTTTTTTTCTTCTCTCTCAGCAAGCCTTGTTTGCTGGCCTTCAGAAAATTTATAGTCGTCGTCCCCTTAGTCGAGACAGAACATGTTGTGTTCGTTGCGCACGACATCCTCACAAGCCGAACAAATCGAGAAGAAGGGGGTCATGAGCAGGGGCTCCAGCCAAGGCGGCACCAGCGATGCCGCCACCCACCTCATAATCATCTTGCCGGAGATATCGTGTCGTGGATCGAACAATGCCGACAAAATCCATTGTCGGCCCTTCCTCATGCAGCATTTTTTTTTTCTTCCCTGTCAAAGCATCAGGGGGAGCTGTGTTTCCAGTCGACATTTCTCCTGTAGTCTTTTTTTCTTCCCTACCCAAGCGTCAGGGGGAGCTGCGTTTCCAACCGACCATTTCTTTTGCAGTATTTTTTTCTTCCCTAGCCCAAGCGTCAGGGGGAGCTCTATTTCCAATTGCCCTTTCTTCTGCTGCTTTCTCTGTCAGCAAAATTTACTGGGTATGATTTACATGTTTTTTTCTGCAGCCAACGCAACTGCGGTCAACTTAAAGTCAGTTTTCTTGTAGGTTGTCGTTTTCCCTGCAAAACTCAAAATTCAGCCAAGCTTGAATCCAACAAATTCAACCAAGCCTGAATCTCTCTTCTACGCCGAAACATATGACAGACAAAACTCAAAATTCAGCATAGTCTGAATGTAACAAATTTGATAATTCAAACGACCAATTTTTCTTCACTACTCAACAAGTTAGGAATTATTAACATACGTTACAAACTTGAGGTGGAGTTTTAAGAATTATAATAAGAAATAATTTATTCTTATAAGAAGTTATGAGGAATAAATTATTTCTTTAATATAAAGAGATATTTCCTTTCCTATTATATAAATATTTACTTGGATTAGGAATTATTTGTTTTTCTATTTTACGTTATTTCTTATATCTCCTAATAATTAATATGAATTAATTATTGAACATATCAATTGATATATATTTGCTTTGATATCATTTCATTTTTATTATTTTTCATATTATAGGATTCTTGTAAGCGTTATTTATACCCCGTTCATATCAATAAAATAATGTGTCATTGATATGAACAGGGAAATAAATAACTCTTATACGAATCTTATAATAGAAAAAATAATAAAAATGAAATGATATAAAAAGAAAGATATATCACATGATATCTTCAATAATTAATTCATATTAATTATTAGGAGATATATGAAATAACTTAAAAAAAAGAAAACAAATAATTTCTAATTCAAGGAAATATATATAAAATAAGAAAGAAAATATCTCATTATATTAAGGAAATAATTTATTCCTCATAACTTCTTATATGAATAAATTATTTCCTATTTTAATTCTTAACACTCCCCCTCAAGTTTGAAATGTATATTAATAATTCTTAACTTGCTGAGTAGTGAAGAAAAATTGATCGTTTGGATTATCGAATTTGTTAGATTCAGACTTGACTGAATTTTGAGTTTTGTTTGCCATATATTTCAGCGTAGAAGAGATATTCAGGCTTGGCTGAATTTGTTGAATTCAGGGAAAAAAAAAAGTGTTGTTTCCTGCGACTAGGAAGAACAACAGAAAAAGACTACTTTGTTTTCTGTGGGAAAGTCTTTTGGGTAAGAACAACCGGAAGGTCTTGCTGCTAGGAAGGTCTTGAGCTTATCTACGGTCCCAACTGTCGGAGCTCCCTAAAGGCCGGTTGAACGCAACCGGCCAACTGACTACTCTTACCTCGAAAAAAATAATTTTCTTGAGCCCCGCCGCTTTGGCCTATCAAACCAAGTCATATCGATTGGCTGATTACTGTTGTACATGAATTCAAATTGTAATAAATTTAATATTAATCATATTGATTGCATTCAGAACTATTTTCATAATTGGCCGCTACTTTCTGCAATTAAGAGCTATTTTCATGCTGAAATCAACAGTTTGATAGTTGAAAATATCACCTCAATGCTTCTTAGCTCTGTATGTAATCATCCCAATTTTTTATCTCGGCTCATTCGGTTCGTCCCGAGCGAGTTACACAGGCCATGGCGGCCTTTCTGCTTCGCCGAGCTGCGTCGAACCTAGGTCTAGTTTTCTCTCGGCCATTACTTCCAGAGAGCTCCTCACCGGCTGTTCCTTCAGTTCCCGGTTTCTCCTTCGGTGCTTCCATGGAGCTCATGGCCGTTCCCAAGAAGAAGGTACATATTTATTGAAAAAACCCTAGTGCTTTTTCTTATAGATGGAGATTTTGTGCTCCCGCTCAATCGAAACACAGAGAAGAGATGGATTTCTTTTTCCTTTTTTAGTCGATCGTTGTGTTGTATGCGTTCTTTTTAGTTTTAACCGCATTTCGTGGTGTTGAATCATGGCGTTCAGTTTATGTGTCCCAATCAGAACAATCCGATTTCCATTGTTCTTTGGATCAGTATTTGATAAATTGTCGAGGTATTTTGGTTTAATTTACTTTTGGATTGCAGGTTTCGCCGCATAAGAAAGGATTGAGGAATGGACCCAGGGCTCTGAAACCCGTCCCAGTGATTGTTCGGTGCAAGTAAGAATTCTGCTGATTTGTTATCTGGAGTGCTGTTTTAGTAATTTGCTTATGAATTCAAAAATTGCAACTTTGAATTGTGAGGGGATTTAGTTTTGGGGCAATTGCATACATAACTTATAAATCTTGATTATTTACAAAACTGAGGCCTAGTTACCTTCATTTGCAATAATAACATCCAAATATTGAAGAGCATAATGAAGCTTGTTTTGGGTTTAAACATGTTAAGTGGGACGAGGGTATAAATACTTGGGACATTTATATGCATAGCACACAATTCTTATGCATGTACATATATCACACCTAAACTTTCATATTTATACACAGCACTCAGATTTAATATCACAATAAATGCAGCACTATTTTCACTTTTTAAGATTCAAATACACATTTTCCTGCACAGGTTTAGAACACCAAAAGTGCTATGTATGTAACTATGAAATTTAGGGAGAGATATGTAAATAGATTAGAATTCTGTGCCACGTATGTAAATCTCCTTAAATATTTTCACATAGCATTTGTGGTCAGGCACTAAAGTGGCATTCTATTTTGATTCAGAAGGGATTGAAGTGAGCGACGAGACAATGCAATAATTTGTGGAATAAATTGGCATTTCTCCAAACATTATGTAGATGACTTTTTATATGCTATAGACAAAGATGACAAAGCTCTTATGCTTCTTTGTTCATTATGTTTAATTAGATTGATAAAATTTTTAATTATTGCTTCATTATAAAATTATACATAGCTGATTATAATGACATCATACTAATTAATGATTAATTAGCCAAGCAAGTTTTAATTAATAAATAAATAATTTGAAATTATTAATTAATGATTAACATAGTTAAAAAAATGAAATATAAAGTAACTTGGATTAACATATTTAAATTATAAAGAAATTGCCAAACAATTTCACAAGATTTAAGGAGATTTAATATATGCCATGCTAAACAATTTATGAGATTTAACCACCTCAAGATTTACTAAATCTGGATTAAGATGATTTACTAAATCTTACTAAATTAAATCCCAGATTATCACTATATATAAGAAGCAACTTCAAGTTTATTCCTCGAAACCTTTCATAATTGCTTATTGTGTATTTCTATTATATTAAAGCGTCTTTCATATTAATCCGGCGATAGACATGAATTCTTATTAATTTTATTCAATAATAAAAAAATAATAACAATAGCAACAAAATTGCAGTTGAGTAAATGATTGACACGTTTTGAAATAGGCTAGGCATAATTCAATCACCAAGACCAACGCTCAAAGCACATAATAAATTTTATTTAAGTTTATCCAATTGATGTTTATGGATTGTTTCCATGAAAGATATAGCAAAATCCTCATAACTCTCTTAATGAAATAACCCTTGATTACATAAGGCATTTCTTCTAAAGGCAAGAATTAGGTTTCACAACTTTAACATCACATGCTATAATTTCAAGGGAAGTTTACATACGTAGCATACAATTCTTCTGTATTTACATATCTCATACCTAAACGGCTAAACTTTCATATCTACGTGCATAGTACTTTGGTGCTTTAAGCCTATGCATGAAAATGTGTATTTCACTTTAAAGTAGTAATAGTGCTATTTTTCATGTGATATTAAAGATTTAAGTTCCATGTGTGTAAATATGAAATTTTAGGTGTGAGATGTGTAAATACATAAAACTTGTGTTCTATTTATGTAAATGCTCCTAATTTCAATCAATTATCTTGTCCCTGAAGTTCAGTGTATATGTTTGCACTAACTTTGGTGCTCCTATAGCATTTAACATTATTCATATTGGCCATTGATGAACAGGTTAAAGTGCTGGTCTAATGTTCTTTAAGACTGGAAGTAATATTTTACCAAATTTGTTAGCTACAATGAGCTGAGACACTCTTCATCAATGCATGATAAATTCACTCCGGCGGATGTCATTTAATAGTCTTTTCTTTTCACGAAATAAGCAACAACAGAAGATATGCTTAAATCTTTTTATAACTGAAAGATTTACATATATACCACTCAATTCCTATGTATTTACATATCTAACAACTAAACAACAATTTTTACATACATGCGACTTTACCTTTGCGTAAAAAGGTGTATTTCACGTTTTAAAAGTTAAAATGGTGGTTCTTTCGATGCTATATGAAAAATTTGAGTGGCATGCATGTAAATATTAAAGTTTGTGTGTTAGATATGTAAATACATAAGCATTGTGTGGTATGTATGTAAATGCCCTAAATCTTGTTATAATTTTTTGTTTTTTAATATTTTATTAACAGAGCCTTGAATTCTATGTAGGAGTTGCGGCCGAGTTAAACTGCCACACTTTTATTGCTGCAGTGGGAATAGAAGAGCAGGCGGTTCCTCCCCTTCTTAAAACTGATGCCTGTTAGTATTACAAGAACTCCAAGATCTTGCCGAATTGGTTTTTCAGTTATACTTGAACCCTGTTTGTTGAAAAAAATTTATACAAAAGGATATCTTTTAAAATCATCACAAAACATACTCAAATCTAAATCTTATTAGAAGTATGACTGAATAAATTTTTAAAGAAAGCGCAAGTTTTAAATAAATGGTTTTAGGATAATTATAATTTTCTTTTTTTTATTGAATTAGGTTTAAAATTTTCTTATAGAATTTATTATTTTTAACAAATCTTAGTAAAAATGTGAACCCGGTTTAGATTTTAAATTATTCTCTTGAACCCTATCTCTCTCTATTATATATATATATATATAGAGAGAGAGAGAGAGAGAGAGAGAGAGAGAGAGAGAGAGAGAGAGAGAGAGAGAGAGAGAGAGAGAGAGAGAGAGAGAGAGAGAGAGAGAGAGAGAGATGGTGAGGTTGATTGGATGCTTGTGTGTTTGTGCACGTATATCTTATTTTTCTTTAGGTGTACTAATTTTGTGTTGGAGCAAAATAAGAAGAGAAAGTTGCAGGCTGAGATAAAAATGTAGTGAAAAAGAGAACACGGAACAACAACAACAACAACAACAACAACAAGCCTTTATCCCTCTAAGCGGGGTCGGCTACATGAATCTTTTATTCTCTATTGTGTCCTATTGAGTAATTCTAATAAATTAAGATCATTTTTTATACACCATGCCCACGTCTTTGTAGATCCATCTCTATCTTTTTGAACGTATGTTGAATCCAAAACATCGACTCTCCTAACCTGATCAATAGATAGTTGACGTTTAATGTGACCAAATCATCCAAGATGATTCTCTCTAATATTGTCTGTCATTGGAACTACACCAACCTTTCACGGATACATTCATTTTGCATTTTGTCTCTAAGTGTAAAGCCACTCATCCACCTAAGCATTATCATCTCAGCAACATTTAAGTTAATTTTATGCTTCTCTTTTTTAAACGTAGTGAAAAAGATAACTGGGAGAATGAAATAGATAGAAGAGGAAGAAAAAAAAGTAATTATTTCATCAGGTAGTATTATCTTGCCATGGTCAAAGTACTGTGGTGTAAGAGTGAAGTTTTATTTCATTAAAATTGAAAAACCAAACTGAATCGATGTTATTTTGTTGTTTTAGTTTGGTTGTTAAAGCATTGATTCATTCCTTGGTTATAATTTTGAGTTTCTTTTATTTTTTCTTATTGATTCAATTTTTAGTTTTATAAAATAGATTGAATCAATATCTGAATTATATTAATTTTTTCAAATATTAAATCAGTAAAGCCATGTAAATGAACAATTGGCATAATGATTGATCAACGTGAATGCTATATGTATTCTACACGTCAGAATTATAAATTATGATAAAGATTATTTGGTTCTTCATTAATATGTGTTATTTAAGCTAAATATAATTAGGTTCATTTCTAATTTTAATTACATTTTGGTTCATCTGAAAACGAGCAAAACAAGCAAAATTAAAGTTTGATTTGATTTAAAAAATGGTATAGTTAGTTCGATTTTTTGAATTTTACAATTGAAACCAATTCGTTGAACTATTCATAAATCAACTATCCAAACAAATTTCACGTCCTCAGTGTTTTTGCAGAGCTATTGTAATAATTTCATTGACATGGGTGAATGTATCCTCCTGCAGAACATTCAAGAGGAAGAATTTATAGTATTAGTTAAATTTGTTTATTTATTTTATAATAATTTTCTTTTTTCTTGGCTTGTTTTTTTTTTTCTTTTTCTAATGAGATTGGGTGTATATAGATTTGAGGATATGTTTTTTATGCTCCATTTTATTTCTATGCTTGTGTGGCTTCTTTAGAATGATTGAATCATTTCTCCTCTCTTATGGAAGTATGCTTATTGTTGCTGAATAACATAAATCTTTTTGACTTCTTGTGATGCTTGGTTTGCTCGTTATTAATTTATTATGTTCATTGTATTCTCTATTAGTAGCTATTTACACATAAAATTTAGATGTGCTCCGATCATGTAATGTACAAGCCCATTATAAAATATGGTAGCAATAAAATGCGAGATTGAGAAATCTTATGGCTGAAAGTATTTTAGGTTATAGAAAATAATGGCTCTAGGCATGCCTAATCTAGTAGGAATTTATGAAGGCTCTCATTGGGTGTTATGCATGACTGAGAGGTTGAGTGAAGAACATAAAGTTACGATGGATGAGAAACCTTCTTCAATAATCCAACTATATTTTGTTAGACGAGTCTTTGATGGAGACCTTGAAGTAAATATTTCTAGTTGTATCTTAGGTTTAAGAGTTTTTATGTAAAAACCAAATGCCTCTTTAATAAAGTTATTAGTTCTAGCTACTATCGTTCTAATGCGGGAATGTACACTTATTAAATCACATTATAATGAATTTAATTTGATTATTAAAGATTTGTGGAATATTAATTTGATCATTTGTAATAAGGAACATATATAATACCTTTGTGCTATTTACATTCCTCTTATGATCATTTATGTGGCACCATATAATGTAGTAGAGATGTAATTAGATTAGATAATATTTAAGATTCACTTCTTTTTAAAAATTTAATTGCTAAGCTTGAGGGTGTTGAAAGATGAAAAGCAACTTGAAATATTGTTGGTACACGCAGTTGATCGAGTTATCAATAAATTTGATGACATGGGGGTGAATAGAGAGAATGTGAAAGCTAAGAAGGGAGCATTTAAGAGAATCCTAAATGTTAAGGGGAACCTTTTCTTTCGATTCTTAGAATATATATAGGGCCGTAGGCAAAGACCTTGAACCGGAGGTGAAAGAAATCCGGTTTTCTCATTTTCATGATTGACGTAAGAAAGTGAGAAAGAAAGAACTTTTTGACCCGTTCGGTTATCTCAGTCAGTAAAAAAATGAAGTAAGAGTAAGAACTTACGCTAATGCCTGCTCTCATAGCCCTAATGAACTGAAAGAAAAACTGGAATGAATGGACAAGACTGCCCCCAATTATCCATCAAATCGAGAAGTCAAAAAAAAAAAAGAATTCTTTTCAATATCTTTCTATAGAATTTCTTTTTTGAGAGATGTATGTAAAGTATTGCTCTTGAGAGAAGTCGTTGTGAGGCATTACTGAAAGATTTATTGATTACAGTAGCACACCCAAGACCCAAAGTGCCTTTTGGGTCTTTGTAAGGCATCTGAGACAAGCAACACCAAAGTTTAGAAGATCGTTGATTGTGCAAGGAAAGTGACCATTTGGATCAACAATTTATGAATTTTTTGCTGAATTGGATGATAAAATTGGCTTCACATTATAATTTATGGATGACAGTAGAGTAATTCACACATCCAATTCCATGTTATCTTAAATGCTCACTTGTTGTGATTGATATACCTTATCTATACAAATGGGTGGCAGAGGAGGAAAAAATGGTAAGAGCTACCATAGGTTAGAGAATCTTGTGCTCAACTACTCATTCTCTACCCAGTTGTATTCTAGACAGAGTTTGAATCATAGTCTATCAGCAAAACCAAGAATAAGAACTATATGGAGTTGGAGAGCTATAAGCTTGAATCATAGTCTATCACCGGAAAATGTATTTTTTTGTGCCTAGTTTTATCTGGACATTTATATGATTTCTTGGCGGTTAATCAAATTCTCTCGTCTCATAAACTCAAGTTTGTTTTAGCTAAACTGCGTCAAGTCTCAATATCTCTTCGTGATGTTTGGTTATTTTATTATACCTTTTTATGTTCATTATACTTGCTCCTAATCGGCCCTCTCCGCTCGTGTTTTGATAACAAACTCGAGATCTTAAATTGAATCAAAGAAAAAAAAAGGTGGGCAATTACATACATAGACCCGAAAGGTTGCTATTTACAAATCTAGCACCCACTTTCATCCATTTTTCAAATTCGCCCAAATATCAAAATTCATGTAAAACCCCATCTATCTTTTTTTCCCATTTTTATCAAATTCTCAATAATTTGATCTTGACACATAAATATTTTGTTCGTAGTTTACAAATAGCACACATGTGCTTGATTTTGTAAATAATGGTGTTTTGGTTGCTACATATGTAATTATTCCAAAAAAAAAATGGTTGAACTTTTAAACTTCCATCACTCCAAAGGATGTCATTTCTTTGTCTTATCAGCAATATTCTTAACTATTCTTTTGCAATTTTATTATTTAAATTAGTTGGCTTTGTGCAGATGTTGGCTGATGAAAGCATATGCCCATAATAGGCCCCAAGACTTTATCAAAAACAAATTTATTTTTAATGTATCTCTTGTTTTTGATGTATTTCCTGCGTGTTCTTTGTAATCAGATAACTCCATGCTTTTCAGGCATGTTTCATCTCCTAATTTTCCTGCACTGAGTAACACCATAGCATTTGTATTCAACCTTTTTTTTTAATGGGGTTTTAAATGTATTTTATTTTATTTTTTCTTTAGCAGGCTTTTAGAATCGTAGTTTATCTGGAAGAAATCCTTTTTATTTTATTTATTTATTTTTTTTTTTTGGGAAATTTACATTCATGCCACACAATTTTTATGTATTTACATATCTTAGCACCCATAGTTTGATATTTACACTTGTAACATCTTGGTGACATAAACCTATGCATGAATAGTTGTATTTCACTTTTATGAAGATAGTAATATTGATATTTTTATGTAATGTTAAAGGTTCAAGTGGTATGCATGTAAATAAAAATTTTTGGGTGTTAAATATTTAAATGTATAACAATAATGTGGTACTTGCAATGTACAACTTTTTTATGTATTTATATATCTCTCACGTCACTTAAATGTTTAACATTAATATTAGCTTTATTTTCAAGGCAGACACATTCTTCATGGATATGTTTTGATGTGATGATGGCATTAAAGTGTTACATAAATCTTAAATGTTAAACATCTAAATATATAAAAAAAATGTGTTCATGATGTAAAACTCCCTAAAAAAATTAGTCAAGGAACATAATAATTTTGGTTGCATGGTTATGAAATAAAAGTTATTAGATTAGTGGCATCTTGGCTCATATTCAAATAAAATAACATAATAAAAAATTTAGGCGAATTATTCTATCATTTAAGAGGCCTGAAAGTCTTCCGAGTACTGCATGGAGCAAAATATAACATTATAACATGGATTAACAATAATATATTTACATAACTAACCTGTTTTGATTTGTATCAGACTTTGTAGTAGTTAGGGCTACAATGCAATGCAAAATTGGCTATCAATTAAATCATCATGATGCGACTAGTTTCTTTAAAACTTTGCAAAAATTTGCTCCTTAGAGTTTGCATCAAAGTTCTTGTTTGATTAGATTAAATTTCCATTAAAAAATCTTAAAATAATTCATATATATATATATATATATATATATATATATATATATATATATC